AAACTCTAGTCTACTTCACAAGGATTCGGCTTCGTACCGCTGACACAGGTGGCGCCGTTTTGGCATGGTAGATGTGCACAGAAATCGATTTCTAAAAGCAGCATGAAGTACGGTAAAGGCGAGAGACTCGTTACTTTTTTCGCAGAAGACTCCTGTGAATTCTTCAGTGCAGATGCATCGCCACTGACCAGTTTCACTGACACATTGTCCGCCATTTTCACATTGAACATATCTGCACTGATCGATTTCTAAACAACACAGTTTAATTCATGAAACATTTCTTAAATCTTCGAATGAGTGAAGCCGTTGCACTCCACAATTAGAAATTTGGAAGTCGAATGCATCTCATCTTCCATACCTGGACACAGCAATTAAAGAACGAAACAGACGGAAGCAAAGTTCATTAACATAAGATGTTGGAGACAAACACCTTCAGTGCTTGTAACATGTTGTTTTTCAACCAGCTCCTGCTAAAGTGTCTATTTCCGTCATTAAGCCATGGATTGGGAATGTCATGCCGATCAATAACAAATCTGATAGAACTGATTGCAAGCCAAGTCAAAGAAAGCATGATGACGTTTCCTTCAGTTCTTTTGAGGCGCTCCATTTCACCCATTGCTTTTAAATAAACTGGAAACTAGCTTTTAGCAGGCCGACATAGGGAAAACTTTCAAAATGCTTCCACCCTACCACCGTTAAATGGTTGAGGTTTTACTCGAGTAGCAGTGGACAGAAAGATACGGATACCAATGCATCTAGCTAAGATTGGACGAATTTTCAACGCATGACGCGACAGCGCAGTTTAACCCGATGAAATGATTTAGTCAGTCTTAATGCAGTATTGGTTTAAACAAAATGCTTTTTGGTGTAAATTATAAACATAAGATGGTGTTTTCAGACTAAAAGCGTTTCTATGCTGCCATGCTGCCACAGGCATGACACTCGAACCACAATCCTGAGCCAGTGCACGACTCAGCGCCCAACTCAGTGACGCCGCCTTGTGTCCATGTACTGACTGTGCTCAAATACCGCTGAGCTATGATCTGCCTAAATGGTACCCCCAATTGTCAGGAAAAAAACGGGTGGTTAAATCATGCCGTCTAATCCGGTTCAGTTACATGCATATTCATTCCCTTTGGTAGTGCGGGTGCAAACAAGCCACATTTCTTTGTAAATCACAAAATTATATAAACTTTTATAGCTATGATTCTTGCAAGCATATCAGGGAGCTAACAGCATATGTCATTTTTCAAAACTGTAATCCGTCCATACCGATACGAAGTGAAACTGATCAAAGTTCAAGCTTGCCGGTAATACGTCAGCCTTACTGCACTATCGTTAAGACAACCATTAACCCGAAGCCACAGTTCGATCTCCTGCAGGTTCACTACGAGACTCCGGCAGTAATGAAGTAAAGAGTACAGATTACCGGCTTGTACTGAAGTAGGAAACAGTTTCAGGCAACTAGATGGGTGCATCGTTGTAGGAGATAAGAAAACGAGAAAGCTGCTGTTTGCAAGCGACCTTGTTTTATTAGCATCTTCTGAAACTGATCTTCAGTGCTCCATAGAAAGGTTCGCAGCCCAGTGCAACGTGACCGGCATGCGTGTGAATGCATCTAAAACGAAAAGCGTAGTGCTTTCTCGTTCTCCTGCCCGTTGCTGTTTTCAGATTAACGGAGAGGCAGTGGAGCAGGTGGAGAAGTTCAAATACCTCGGAATTGTAATTACTAATGATGGAAAATTGGAGGAAGAGATCGACCGGCGAACTGGGGTAGCCAGTGGCGTTCTACGTGAACCAGACTGATCCATTGTGACTAAAGCAGAGCTCAGTCTGAAAACTAAGCTCTCAATATTGAAGTCGACCTTTGTCCCCCATACTTACCTACGACT